TGGAAACATTCATCGGCTGACGATGGCTTCATTTATTTCTTGTCTGGAGAAATCCAGGCAAATGAACAGAATTGATATTGAGCGCAGTGACACTAGCTGTTTTACAGCGGAATATAAATTGCATGCATCTAATGCAGAGTTAACAAAGAGTTTTTGTACTATAGAATATTCACCTAAATACATGATCCGCCAAGTTAAAGCTATCTACCGCGATGCATGCAGCCGAAAAGGAGGTTTCTACACGTAATCAATGTGTTGTGAACGTGTTTTTTTTTATTGTGAGTGTTTGTATGTGTGTGAGAGTAAGTGAGAGAGATCGGGCGCAAACATGCAACGGAAAATACTATATGTTTCGATTTTCAAACGGTCATGAAAAACTCTGTGCATGTAGACACAGTCTCTCACGCTGGATGCATGCTTAAATGGAGGAATAGGTGAACGACAAACAGAGAACGAGAACAACAACAAAAAAACGTGATTGTGTGACATGCGCACTGATCAATCGCGACGTCACAAATCGATCGAAAATTTCCCAACACAAACACAACGTTGGCGCGTACAGACAAATGAACCGACTAAAACGACGCTTATGTGTGTGCTGTGCATATAACTGACACAATGCTCCTATGTATCTGCCGATGCTGAATACGGGCTATGTTCATCAACAAACGAAAACCCATTGGCTGACTGTTGTGTATATGATTTTATTCGAGGCATCTATTCCAATTTGATGTAGTTCCACACTTTGTAACCAATACAAATGCATCATGCAACTTTACACGTATTCGCATGCAATAGTGAGCGCTTGGTTCAAGAACGAACGATGGCACGATAGCAGACATGCCATGCCCGTGCACGAAAATTGACAAAATGCATAAAATGCACAAATGATACCGAACTGTGGTTGTACACACTCAACTGGCTGCACGTTTGCTATGTGCATTTGATTATGTAGCATTCGCTTGGCTTACATCAACTGCAGGTTCTTTACCTTGTGCTTGTTAACGCAATGCAAAGTGGAAAAGCGTTTTTTGTGCGCCGCACACATGAAAAATATATACGACAAAGACAGCACCAGAAGCAGCATCGACAAAATAAAAACCGTTGCGAAAAAATGGTTGGCAATGTTCCGCCGGAGCACAAGTACTCATTGGCTTAACTTCGGGCTGTAACCGACAAACAGAAATGAAAATGGGAATGACTTTAGACACGCCAAATTGACAATGTTGAAAACTTTACCACATTTTGCAAAAAAAAATATTCAAAATTCATATGTAAATTTTCCAATTTGCATGCGCATTTTTCCTGAATCCTCCATGGCAATTTCATGGCACTTTCGTGCCACTTTTCTGCTGACAACATTAGCAACAGCAATAACAGCCAATGATTTACGCGTCATTTTTAAACTAATGTGAATCAGACGTGATCATCGCTACATTTAAAGGCTTTATTGTTAATGTTCGTATTCGGTTTCCATTCTATTCTACTTTTTTTCCGAATTCTTCCAATGCTCTAGCCCGGCGATGAAATCCTCATCCATTTGTGCGATGGAAATTGTCGTGATAGCGATATAATCGTCGGAAGTGAGAATTAGTTGGATGTATGTGTTTGCCACAAAATCAATAATCGTGTATGTATTTGAAGAATATTCTAGTCATTGCACGCTTTCTTACGTCCAATCCACCGACCGATGAGTGAATATGTGTGTTATTTGAATACACCACATACGCCGCAAATGGAATACGATCCTTTTCCGATAGATGTAATTGAATCGTAAAATAACATCGTTTAAAATGATTAAATTGAAATTAGCACCGGGTTTAATTAAGAAGATATGATGGAATAAAATATCATTATGTATCGAATTTGTTGGCTAACCTTCTACGTAACTAAATTCCTACAATTAAGATGTTTTCGGAACAGATTTTAAGCCATTCATGAGAACCACCAAATCTTCAAATTCCAATCGGAATATTCTCAAACTGACATGCATCAAAAGTCAAATATAGATTTTCACGGGGTGAAAGAGACATGACAGGGTTAAAACCCATTTCAATTTATAGATGAACGTAGCAAAGCCTCACAGCACTATCCAATATTAATGGAAATATGTTCGTTTTCCTGCAAATGGAAATGTCATTGCCTCCTTCTCATACAAACAATGTTCAGCGATTCTGGGGCGTCCGAACCAAAATACCAACGCTAAATGTCGTAAGCCATTGGAAACGCGTGTGTCATATATACCTAAATATTTGATGGATTTGTTCTCGTGCTTTCCAAACGAATTTGGTGCGTGATTTTCGGAAAATTTATCAATGGCTGGCGAAATTCAATCGATGAATCAGTGTTTATGGCATGACCGTGCGTTCTGAACGTTTTTCGTTCGTATTTGAATGAAATTTGACCTATTCATAACATGGAACTTTGATATACTTGGCCTCCCATATACTCGACCACACATACACACACATATATGTATATACAACGTACAAATACCTTCGTTTTGGGGCAAAAACACGCCATCTCCATATCAACGACGCTTTTCACTGTGTGTACAGTAATTTATTAGAATTTGGAAAATGTGATGTCGACGACAGGCCACAAACGAACACCATGCTATATCCATCTCATCGCTACATTGTTATACACTGCCACAAATTAGCCGCGCGCTCCCCATAAAACTCACCGAAAATAACATCCATTCAATTCATTATATGAAATAATCGTTTGGTAATAAATTATCCGACGTGAATATAATAAATACATATACATTGTGTGTGATTGTGCTGGTGCGTGGAGCAAACAGTGTGCTTTCTATTGATATTGAAGTTCAGGCTTTGTTTGGGTTTTTCGCCTAGTTGTAACAACAAGGCGAGAAAAAAAGTTTTCCATCGAAAATCTATGTGCCACCGATGTGTTTATGTAATCAACCAAATATTTACGGACAATTTATGCGGCTACTGAAAATTTTCCTCGTTAATCATTTCCGCCCAATGCTGACGAAGCGCTTCAATATCATGAATACTTTTATTGGCAATTGCTCATGTTACTATGTAATTCAGAATGTAATTCGGTTTTTTATTCTCATTTGATGAAGAGACAATCGAAATGATGATTTAATTATGATTTTTAAATCAAAGGCAGATCTCGTGATGACAAATATTGATAGAAATGGAAGCTGTATACAAGTGATCGAGTGGACAGAAAATTCGAATAAAAAGTGACAAACAAATGAATTCATTTTAATTTTCGATTTCGTTTGAATCCATTTCCACGAAACCACCGATGAACAAATTGAGGTGAAGAAGAGAGGGCGGCATGCGTTATTACCGAAATGGAATTGATTGGTTCGATAAACGTGTAATACATCCAAATCGACAATGTAAACAGAACAAATGTAAATACACTCAGCATATCGATCAAAACAAAGCATTCAACTCTCACGAGCACTTTATCTTCTAAACTAGATTTCACTAAAATTTCGTTGCAAACCCATTCCGTTCCGTCGTAGAAAAAAATGTATAGTTGAAACCGTATATATTTTTTCTGTTTTGTTTACAAAAAAATATGGGAAATCGAACGTGTGATATGTGATATATAATTGCGTATGACGAAGCTTGATACACATACTATATAATCACATTCGATTTCAATCACAACGAAAACAAAGCAATCTGAAAAAAAATGCATGTTTCGAGTTAAAAATAATATCATAAAATATTGCAAAGTGCAACGATATAGTCATATGACTAGAATATTAAAATCTAAGCTCGAAATGATATCGGCAAATTGGTGGAAGGGCGCTAAAATTATCCTGAATTATGGCCCTATTTGGTTTGGTATAATTTACAATCGTAACTTAAATTCTATAAATTAAATCAAATTTCATGTCGCAAATTCTAGCTTTTTCTGACTTACACCCTCTCTTCCAGGGTGTACCTGCAATGCTCACACCATCCTCAATATACAAGAATTCCACGTGCATAATAAATATCAACCATATCTCCGGCCAACGTGATGTCAATATGCGGTGTTTGTGTTGGCATCAAATATTAAAAAGTGCCTTTTGCCGATAAATCGACTTGTTCATTCCTGAAATGTTCATGCAATGATTTTTATGATGTCATATTGTACGCATACACAAGTATTGAAATTTGGTGTGTATTTAGTCAAGAGCGCAACGCTATTTTGTTCTCCCTCTATCGACATGTAAAAAAAAGCGATGAGCAAATGGTAAAGTACACAAAAAACCTTTTAGACGATACAGATAGAGAGGATGTGAAGCAAACGATGAGCAATGAAGGGACATACGCATTTGCCGTTTCTCTCACTCTATCAAAATGTAAACATTTGGCAAACCTGGAGCCTGTTAAATGATCTGAATGTATATTTACTGTTGCGCTCGAAACGAGTTCACCAGTAGAAGAAGCAAGAAACTGAAATGAAAAAAAATGGAAAGATAAAATTAAGCGAGCACGTTTGTTTATTTTGTGCGTGTGTGTGTATTCGAGGCCCACCATAAATACATATAAGAGATCGACCGACCGACCGACCGAAGAATCATCATTGGCACCATCCAATTTGAAAGGAACACGCCAAAATTAAACGATTTCAACCGGAGTGTGTAGATTCATACGCATTATTTATGACCATCGTTCTACAACGTTCGTTCAGTTTGCACAGCCCAACCGAAATGAAAAGAAGAAGAAAAAAAAAACAAAACAAAAGTCTTAAAACATGAACACATAAAACCAATTGCTATAATACATCATCCATATGAAGTAATGCAGTAGTAGTGGTGAGCTATGTTGAACGAACCAACGACAAAAAGTAAAAGAAAAAACATCCAGTTTAAATCATGACACAGACATACGCAAAAGAGTCTCAGCAAACCGCTGGCTGAACGAAGCGAACACGCAATGGAAGTGGATTGAATAAAAACATACTTCAACACGAGCGTCGATTGAAAAACGCTCACGAACCTCATTCCATCCCAGTCAACATCAGCAGATCGGCTCGACTCTTGCACACGCATTTGCAATTACACTATACACGCATAGCGATATCGATTAACAATTCCATAGCCATAGAATACAAAGCAGGCAATACACGTTTCATGTTACATAGCGAATCTATAAAGTCAGCCAAAAACCTATATAGATTTTCATTCGTAGTAAAGTGGTATACGTGCTTTGTGTGTAAATTACGTGCTGCCCCGTAATAAAACGTACTTTCGTATTTGACTCAATCGATTTTTCTTTTCAGGCAGTTGAACCAACACACAGCTGCGTGTGTGTTCCACAGCGTAAATCGTTTGCAGTATCGTCGTCATTATTCGGCACTTAGCCAAGCGCAGCGAAAATGCGATTCGATAAAATGATATGGCCCTAAACCATTACAGCCACATACACACTGAATGCCGTTCATTCTACGTCACATTGGTAATGTGTGTGTAGAGTGTGTGTCTCGGTCGGTCGGAAGCCTCACAAACACATTTGCACACAAACATTTACCAATACACGACCAAACAAAACCGACCTGGCGACAACACACACAAACGCACATATGCATAGGCACATACACTAGCACAAACCACTACCAGCGTCGTATTCGACCGCTTCGCTTGTGTGCGTGTCACCGATGATGATGCTCAACAATGATTCGTTCGGAATTCGTTGCTCCGAGTTCAATATTTTGGCTGTTTCTGTTTAGTTTGAATGTGAATGTGATTATGTGCTGACGCTCGTTTGTCTTTTCCTTCGGAAAATTCAGAAGAAAAAAAATTCATCGAATTTCTGGTGTTGTGGTTAGTGATATTAGAGTACAATTTTGTTTATACATATATGCCATCGGTGCTGGTTTTTTTTCATATGTTTAGCACTTTGTGCTTTACCTATCTGATTTGAGCTCATTTCTTCCACTTCAAATCGTGTGTGACACGCAGTGAGTTGTAAAGCGCGCGCCACAGAGAAACAAATACACAAACCGAAAAAATTGCGCAAATTAAAAAAAAAGATCTTTTTTTCTTGTCATTCGTTAATAATTTTTATTTGCTTTTTTTTTGTTTTGTTCGTTCGCTAAATTCTTTTTTCTTGACAGTTTAAAAAATGTAAATAAAGCGATTGTGTAATGAATTAGTAATATCAGCAAGAAAAATACCTTATCGACAGTGAATTCAAAAATTTCTACGGAATCGGTTTATTTACGCTGTTTTTGAAATGCGCTGGTTAAAATCCATCGACTAAATTTTATCACCAATGTTAATTTTGTGTACGTGATCATTTCGAATTTGAATTTTTCATTTAAAAAAAAAGAGCGAATAGAAAAAATTGTTTTGTTCCTTTAATGCGGTGCTTTGATCATTTTATGGTTCAACTTAATTTGTTCCACAAAGCAGAAATCGAAAGAAAAACCTTCTTCTTACTACCAAATTAAAAAACGGTTAAAGTGAAGCGTATTTTTAAAAGAAAAAAAAAACACACGTCGTTAATGTATAAATATTCATTTGAATCAGCGAGATAAAAGCATGACTGACTTGCACACATTTATTACATACGATTTTCAAAGTTTGTGCCCCGTCGCATATACCGTATTTTAATTTTATTATTGCCCTACCGTCGCTAGTGATCGCCATTCAATTTCATTTGCGATTTTGTTCTGTGTGTTCATTTTGTTGATTTCGTTCGAAAGTAAAATGAATTTCAAGCAGAATACAAACCGATCCCATAACATTGCAGTTTAACGACATCAGTGTGTTTTGTTAAAATTCGATATGTTTCTCTCTTTGTAAACGGCATTTTATCTTCTACTTTGTTGATAACTAAGCCAATAGATAAAAGTGCCATACTACCTTCTACATAGTTCTTAGCCAGCTGAAAAAAAGCAGAAAATTTAACGAATCCCAATTTTTTTCGTTTGTTTGTTTGTTTACTCCGTTACAATTTTTAATTTTCATTTTGTTTTACAGATTTCGAAAATTGAAATTGATTGAAGTGAAGTAAAAAGGAAAAGTAAAAAAAAAAACAACAATTTGTGGTGAAAAATAGAAAAGTAAACAATTTGCATGTATTCAATTGATAAGATATCGGCTAAACCGTGAGCCGATAAAGAAGTGCTATATCAATAATCAACGAAAAAACGGCAGATTAGTTGACCAGCCAGACGAAACTTCATGAATAAAATTCGGAACGCCGTGTGATCAAGTGTGTAATTTGAAACGCTTTGAAAAAGTGAACAGAACCGAACCGAACCGAACAAAATCAAATCAAAACGAATAATCAAACAGTCACAAAATGAGTGTACAACAACCAAAACGGCAACAGTGTTATTTGTGCGATTTGCCGCGAATGCCATGGGCAATGATCCATGATTTCAGCGAGCAGGTTTGTCGCGGGTGTGTGAATTATGAAGGAGCCGACAGAATCGAATTGGTTTTGGATGGTGCACGCCAAATGAAACGGGTTCATTCGGCCGCTAAGCGTGGCCATGAGAATGGTGAAGTCGCTGCACATCGCAGTAGCTCGAGTGCAGCGGCCGCTGGCCTAGTTGGCGCTCCATCCGCACATCATCATTCGTATTCGTTGCAACAAGCATCCCAACCGGGTGGAACTGGTCCACGTTTATTGGATTTCACACCAAAAATGGAGCCACATGATACCGTTCGTCCCGTTCGCATTCATATGCCAAATCCACCGCATCATATGCCGATTACCGGTCGGGTTCAAGCACAACCTCCACAGCCGCCGCCATCGTCGCAACCACCTGTTCCACCAACTCAAGCTCCTTCACAACCATCGCCACAACAAATTCCACCCGTAAGTTCTGATTCAAAGATGCCTCGAGTTTATCACCGGTTAACACAAAACTATTTGCAGAATTTGTCGACGGTTGGATTAAAACGGCCAGCTGACGATGAAGAACCGGAAGGCGGAAGCTCAAAACGTATTTTGTCGGAAGATCAAGCGCGTCCACCACTCAGCCGTGGCGACTCATTGCCAACGGCCCCATTCGGCGGCGATCGTCAACCAAACTTCAAGGATAAACACCCAATACGGGCTCCATCATTCGACACAGCAACATTCAAAGCAGGCAGTAAGTAACTGAACTCAATTTTATATTTAGTAACATGCACACCTCCGCGTGTCACCTTTATTATTTATTTTTCATTTCATCGAACTACCAAGTCGTTACCAATTTATCGATTATTTTTAGTTGAATTATTCCTGGAACTCAGATCCAATCTCATTTCGACTGTAATCGCTTTATTGATGTTCTCGAAAGAACTCAAATCTGTCGAACCCATTGAGAATGATGAACATTTGAAATTCCTAGTAAAACTTTTTTTTTTCATTTCCAAAAATCACAGTAAATTACCACATTGAAAAAATTTCCCGCTTTTTTCGCATCTGTGCAAAATAAACACAAAATTAAACAAGTTGATTCATGTTTCGCATCTGTTTTTGGTTCCAATTCGAATACAAATGTCCGAAAGGATCTCATTCGAATTTAGCGGAAAAAATCCAACAGAGTGATTAAATGTCATTTGAGGAAAACATTGAAAAGCAAAAAAAAACTGTAAAAGTTGTTTTGAATTCATTTTTCATATGTGTTTTTCTGTTCGTATAAAACATATGTGCAAATCCACTTCAAACCGGTTTTTAAAATGATGCTCTCGTCATAATTATATTCAAACGTTTGCAACATTGGCCAGAAAAATGTTTCAGCTCATTTGAAATTAGCGGATGGACACACAGAAAATGCCGATAGTAAAAAAAAACAAGCAAACAAAAAAATCATCTCCCAAGTTAAAGCCGGGAAGCAGTATTTTCGTTGGAAATCACGTTTACACATGTATCGTCGTTTTGTTATTGTTGCGATATTAATTAAAATCGCATGTAAATTAGATGAAGTATTTAATTTGTTTTTATCAGTGTGCGTCATAAAATACTCGACCGAGTTTTGTGTGTCATATCGAGTTGTGGCTGATAGAGAGAATGTCAATCTACGACAGCCAAGCGTAAATATTTACGAAAGAATGAAATAGACTGAGAAAAATCGACATTTGATCACGCTTCACCGAATGTGCCGACGATCGCACTCGATGAGTCTCTTGAACGAACAAAGCGGATTTCGTGCCACCAAATACACAGAAACACAATTTTCGAGGCGGATGTCAAGTGTGTTTGTGTGTTGGATTCTACCTGTTTTCTCTCATGATTCAGATGACAAACGTCGTCATCGCTTGCTTGTTGCCTTACATTGTATCAAGATAAAGCGGAGATTACGTGTGTTCGCTGTGTTGTCGTCATCTCTATCGCCAACTCTGTGTGTTGCGTTTGAGGTTTGAATCTTTGACTTTCTAGCCGCAACACACATGTTAGCAATGTCTTACATGCATCCGATGCTCAAAATCAATTCCAATTTACTTCACTTCTAAACCGCTCCGAATTGTTGTTCTTATTACAATAACATTTGTGTATTTCGGGTACAGAGCCAAGCTCTGTAACAATTGACATGTTACATAAGCCGTTCCGGTTGTAAGACCTATTGTTCTTTCCATGCGACGGAAGAAGTTGAGATTTTTATTCGAAACACATATCAAACACTGGAAAAATGCCATAAATCGAGCATTCTGTGCACACGAAAGTGGATATACAAGTTTGATGAACTAAAATTTGACACGATTGTTTAGTCTCGTTGGCAGTGTAATTACACAAATTCTTCGCTTGCCACTGTGGTCGTGCATATGCAGCCAGTTTATACGTGTTTCTCTCGTTTCTTTTTATTTCATCGCATCTCAAGCAAGGAAAAAACAAATTTGTAGAGATTTTCTGTTGGTTGCCGCACTGTTGCTGCTTCGTATCTTTTTAACCGTTTTCTGTGGAAGTATGTCAAATCGTAAACACGTATGCATTGCACGACTAGCAAGTTTCAATCTACGAAATTAAAAAAAAAAAACATAAGAAGAATTCTTTTCGTGCCGGTGCATTCACTGAAAAGCATGTCTCTTCTAACTTGTTTGATACAGACATTTTCAAAACATGTTTCAACACGAGAATATCTCTCTGTTCAGTGCGATGCCAACTTACAAGTTGATACTTGAATGGTTATATCTTTTGTGTGAGTTAGAAAGAAAATATTCCACTCTATCGAAAGCCAAATGTTTGTGTTGTTTGCATCAAGAAACAGTGCTCTTTGTGCGATGAAATAAAACTGTGTTGGTGCATGCCTATGTCTTTTCATTGGAGACTACTGCTCAAATTTTCACTCTGTCTTTGACAATGTTTTCCATGTATGAAAGCCAAGTGAAAGCCAGACCAAGGATCATACAATCATAACGGTAAAAAAGACATTCTGAAAAGATTCTGTAGACAAAATGAACTGACCGATTTCAAGAGTAAATAATTATTTACTCTTGAAATGTGCAATTATAATTGCACATTGTCATTTATCTAGAACATTTTTCACTTCTTTCCACATCACCAGCAGTCTCCGATAGCCATCTTTATCTAATCGCGAGCGCGCGATCGCTCTGCAGATAAATGTTACGCAAATAGACTTCAATTCGATGATAATAACGAGAATAAAAGCGAGTGCTCGAAACAGTGTTCGAAATAGGCTATTAAAGGAAATCGTGATAAATTTAAGAAAGTAAACAAGATTTTGATGATAACCAATACTGTAAACATTTCCATCGAAATGGTCATTCGGTTTAATGCCAGATCGGAACAAATCCACTTTTGCCACTTTTTTCTCTTTAGCCAACAGATTTTATGTTTAACGTCAATCTGACTGAACTGAACATTCTTGTAAACAAACTTCAAGTCGCCCACCAACATTGCGCTAGACATGTGTTGTTCAGCCTGCTTGTGTATTTGTTAGTGTATGTATAAATATACTAGTTATCAATTATAAAAATATTGACGGCTCCCCAGCGAAAACGTATTGTAGGCAATAAACAACGTGAAAGAATAATTTCATTGTCAACAAAATTCCGCATGAGTTTATTGAAAATGTTGAATTTCTCGAAAACTCAACTTGTAAATATGCTGGTAGTTTTCATTCTTGCTTCTTGATACTTATTCCAAAATATGAGTCGGTTACTGTTTAATTGTTTACAAATGTGTGTGCGCCGCAATCAATGTTATATCTGTCCACAAATTCTGTTACAAATGTTCTAATCATTCATACGTTGAATAAAACAACAAAAAATATGGCATTGAATCAAGTTTGATTGCATTTGGTCTTTATCAATGTTTTAGTTTTTACATATTAACATATCGTCCAAATGCTTGTATATACACATAGAGAGTTGCTGATTCATATACAAACGTTCGCGTATAACGGAAGCACAAATGATATAAACAACGCGATCTCTCTAGTATCGTTTATTGCTTGGTTGTTTCACTAAGTTCGTTATTTCGAATATTGACAGCGTTTATTTGTACAAACCGAAACGAAAGCTCATTCTCGTTTTTTTCCTTCTCTCTCTCTCTCTTCCCTTTCTTCTTTTCGTTTGTTTCTGAATGACGTGAAGGCGCGCTATTCTAATTTTAGATTTTCTTTTTCGTTGTGTTGCTCATTCCAAATGCGAAGCGCTGTGGCGCGAAATACAATGGTCGAAACAAATACAAACTCATCTTAGTGTGCACAAATACTACATACGTATATCAAAGTGCTCGATCACTCGTAGTGGTTTCCATTTGTTTTCGATCGAATTTTGTTGCTTCGATTGCTCGTTATTTGTCTGTTCTTACTATCATCGTATTAGAGTTTAAAATTAGAACTGAATCCAAGCCAAGCCTAAAGACGACGACGACGAAGACGATGTTGATGATGATGATGATGAAAGAACGTCATACACATGAGTTTTTATTTTAAACAACATGAGAATGGAAAGAGAGAAGACCTAAATAAGAACGCAATATTTTATTTTATTCGTTGTTGAGATCGAGTGTACGTGCAAGGAACCGGGTCGTTAATCACTATTTCGGTCGTTTGATGTGAGTGAGCGGTTTCTTTCTCTTTCGCTTGTTCTCGTTGGCTCGGCCAAACTACACGCTTACGTTGATATTTCTTCCACATTGTGTATTATTCTTTTCATTTCGTTCCGTAAATTTCATTTCATTAAGCGAACATTTGTGTTGGATTCATACGAGCAATTCCATTTCACAGAATGTAGACAACAAACATCTGCTTACTGAACGTATAGTGAAAGAGATCAAGGTTTTCTAGCTTTTTTGTTGTCGAATGAAATCACATGAAAAGAAATGGAATTCTCATCTCATTCGATGGAGTTGCGACCCGAAACGGAAAAGCGTTTCGTTGTTATTGAACCAAAATCGAAAAATCCCATGAATATGCCGTTAGTTTTTCTTTTCATTTTGATTCGATCTCTCGGTTCTTTGATCTTTAAGTGACTCACATTTTCCAAAGTACTTGGTCGCTCAATTTGTGTTCTTTTCTTCTCTTCTCATTACATTTTTTGATTATTAACTTCATAATAACAAAAGTTGGACAATTTCTCATGCCCATGCTATTGCGAAGAGGAGAGAAAAAAAACGTTCAGAACACTGCTGATTAAACTTGAAGAGAAAATTTAGCCCGAAAAAAATATTGGAATGTGATGGAAAAGTTTGAGCATGATCAAAGAGAAATGGAATCATTACAGTGTTATGAGCCGAAACATTTTTCGAATTCGAACAATTTAAACGACACCAAAATCCATTTCGACCAAGACATTTGCAGCGCATACATATACACATATTTCATTTTGTATGTAGAAAACGCGGCTTGGAAACAGCACACATTTGGTCATTTCGTGCCGAAGCGATTGTTCAAAATATAAGAAATGCACTTTTCATCAGAGTGCATGCGACGAACGAACGAACGAACGAACGAACGAACGAAAGACATACGTAAAAAATCGATAATTTAACGACAGCATTTGGTGTACGACGTAGCAAACAAAGTCAATGCTGTGTTTTGCACACAACACGAACCGAGCCAAACCAAACCAAACCAAATCAACAAACCGTTTGCAATCTGCGTGTTTTTGTGTGTATGTGCGTGTGCTTTTCTTCTTTATTTAT